CCCGGCCGTCGCCGCCGCCATTACCGTCAGCAATAACAACAACACAATGTCAACATCCGCCCAAGAGCCGACACCTCCACCAGCGCCGCCGCCTCCGCCGCCGTCGCCGCCGCCGCAGCAGCAACTCAGGCAACCACAGCAACAGCCTGCGCCTCCTGCAGCGGGAGCACCGGGCTACGGCATCGCGAGACTTCCCGGGAGGGCGGGCAGGCGGGCGGGCTGGATGACGGGAGCGCGCACGTGAGGCCTCGCTAGCTCCCCCAGGTCGCTTTCGTTCCTCCACTTCCACTCGCCGACGGCTCCTCGGACGCGCGCTCCCGCAGGCGCGGCACCGCCCCCCCAGCAGAGGGGACGCGGACCTACTGAGGGGAATGTCTCTGTGAGCTGGTGGCGTTGACCCCGACTCAAAGAACAGATCTCTGAGTGTCCAGTGGGGCACTTAGTTCCCCAGAGTAATGTCTAACCGAAACAAAAAATAAAAACCCTGGTTGGAATAGAGAATTTATTGTGTATGTGGTTGCCAGTTTATCTAATAATCGAATCTCACTTTTCGTCAGTTTTTTTAGTCTGTGATGAGAACCAGTCTGTACTTTTCCAATTTGAGGAACCCAACAGACACACTGCAAATATTTTTTGTCCACTATAATACAGGATTTTTCAAAACATATCTAAAATCAAACATCTTGTCCCATTATCCCCTTAAATATAGTCCCGTAGATGAGGCCAATTATGCTGATTTTTTTTCCTACAAGAACTTATTTTAGTCATGCCATGAAGCAAAATTGACAAATTCTCTGGATTCCAGATTAGAAGAAGCATTTTCCTGCCCCAACTTCCTCACCAGCCATAACCTCTTTTTTCCCTTAAGAACTTAGGAAATCCCTAAATTCTTAAGCTCCTCCCAGGAAAGGAAAAGTGAAGGAAGGAGAGGGGAGGTACCGTTTAATGGATTCCCCTTACCAGTCTAGACTACCAGTAAAGGCTTAAGGTTCACATTGGGCACTTGGCTTCATAGTCAAGAACCTGCCCAGGCAAATAAATAGTTCAGGGGCAGGAGTAGGCTCCTGAGAGAGTCCGGGACAAGGAACATACACTGTGCGGGCAGGAAAGGGTAGTCATACCCAGTGCTGGTGAGAATATTCTCCAAGTACAGTGTTCACGTCTACCAGTTTAGGTGGGTCGTTGTTAAAGTTGAGAAAGTGCAGGGGAGGGCAATTAGGACAGTGAGTGAGAAATGCCAAAGAACCTCCTACTGGTAATGGCTGAAGAAAATGAGCATAGTTAGCCAAGAAAAGATGAAGGAAAAACATAGTAGATAGTATCAGACTTGCTATGTATCTCTCCTGAGTACATTTATGCATTCGACAAACATTTACTGAGCTCCAACCATGTGGCAGGCACTGTGGGGTGTGTGTGTGTGTGTGTGTGTGTGTGTGTGTGTGTGTAATGAGGTACAGTTCCTGCCTTCCAGTAGCTTATTTATCACTAAGGCAAGCAATCATAATCCTGTTGAGTGCTCCCAGAGGAGTATCAGAGGGTGGTAACAGAGCACACAGGAGGCAGCTTGGTTTGGTGATTAACTGCCTGCCTGACTGCCTGTCTTTGAATCTCAGCTCTGCTACTTACAATGTGACCCTGGACAAGTCATTTAACTTCTCTGTTCCTCATGTGTAAGATGAAGATAATAATAGTACTACCCCACTGGGCTGCTCTGCAGATTAAACAGACTACTACATGTGAAATGCGTAGAAGAAAGCCTGGCACACAGTAAATATTGGGTGGCAATAGGAGATCTCTAAGGCCCCATCCAGCTAATCAACTCTATGAGGATCAGCACAATTGTTTTGCATTATGTAATGCTTTACTGTTATGAAGCACATACATATCATTTAATATTCCCCAAGAACTCTGTGAGGTAATCTAGGATGTAATTGATTCCTGAGTTTCAGAGATGCTGTGTGACTGCCCTACAGCCAAATGGCTATCTAAGAGTCAAACTCAGGGCTTCAATTCAGTGCACTGGGTAGGCCAAGCTCCTGAATTTCTTTCTTGGAAGGAACTAGGAGGCCAAGTGGCTGCGCTCAGTTAAAGGAATGGCTGCAAATGGGAGGGTGAGAAAAGGGAACCAGAGGAAGAAAGATCAGTATGTTCCAGACATGGCCCACACGCTGTGTGCCGTGACTGAGAATTCACCTTTCTGTAGAAATAATGGCAAAGATAAGGGGCTGGGGCTTCCCTGGTGGCGCAGTGCTTGAGGGTCCGCCTGCCGATGCAGGAGACGCGGGTTCGTGCCCCGTTTCGGGAGGATCCCACATGCCGCGGAGCGGCCGGGCCCGTGAGCCATGGCCACTGAGCCTGCGCATCCGGAGCCTGTGCTCCGCAAATGGGAGCGGCCACCACAGTGAGAGGCCCGCATAACGCAAGAAAAAAAAAAAAAAAAAAAGATAAGGGGCTGGTGCCCCAAAGTTTCTAAATCATCACACAGCTGACAACTTCCCCAAGGGCAGGGGAACTCACCCATGGCCCTTTAAATCTCCAGCACTTTCCATAGCTCCTGCTTCAGAGAAGGAGCTCAATAAATGCTTTCTGAATTGAGATATATTGTTACTGGTGCTATTTCCAGAACATCATGAGTTAATTAGGCTTTTGAGGACTGTGAGAATCTCACCCTTATCTTAACACTGGTTCTGTGTGGGAGAAATGTTCTTATCCTAAGATCTATTCAACAGAGAGAACTTTGTAACTCCCACTGCCTCAGTGTAAGGCGGGGGCTACCTTATTTTTGCTCCTCCTATTTTACGCTTCTTTTTCCTGTTCTGAAAAACCTGTCACAGCCAGCAAAAGGGTGTAGGACCTGGGAACAAGGCCAAGAGGGTAAAGGGAAGATGAGTCAAACATTTCACTGATGATGGTTGACATCATAATCCCAAACTCCATTTCCAGCCCTCCAGGGTCCAGCTTCCTGTCACACTCGTTTTCCAGTCTCTTCCTGGGGACAAATCTCCCTTCTCAGTATCTTTTCCCTCAGCTTTCAGGTGCTCTCCTGCGCTCTGCAGTATGGACTCCCCTCCATTTGAGCTCCCCTTTACAGTCCTGCTTCACACACTTTCACATGTACCCTCACACCAAAAGGCTCAAAACCAAACAGGAAGATGCCTCAGAGGCCTCATGAGGCAGCAAATCTACAGTTGCTTTTAAGGCAAATATCCCTAGATTTGAAAACTTTCAAGTTCTGTCACTACCTAGCTGAGTGGCCTTGGGTAGTTTCAACTTTCTAAGCTTCCTTTTCTTCATCCTGAAATGGGACCTATGTCATGGGGTTATCAAGGGTCAAATGAGATAATGCATGTGCTATGAGCTGAATCATGTCTCCCCAAAATTTATATACAGAAGCCCTAACCCCCAAGGGGACGGTATTTGGAGATAGGGCCTTTGGGAGGTAATTAGGTTTAGATGAGATCATGAGGCTGGGGTCCTCAGGACAGGATTAGTGTCCTTATAAGAAGTCACCAGAGAGCTTACTCTCCCCACCACCCTTGCCTTCGTGTGAGGACACAGAAGGAAGACTTCCACCTGCAAGCCAGGAAGCTGGTTCTCACCAGGAACCAAACTGGCGAGCACTTTGATCTTTCTGCAGACTTCCAGTGTCTCCAGAACTTGTGAGAAATAAATTTCTGTTGTTTAAGCCACCCAGTCTATGGTATTTTGTTACAGCAGCCCAAGCTAAGACAGCATGTAAACCCTCATTTGTTCACTCATTCATTCATTAAACAAATATGCACTGAATTACTCCCATGTGCCATACTCTGCACCAGGAACTAGGGTTTAGCAATAAGGTAGCGAATGAAACACAGTCCCTGCCTTCATGAACCATAAAGTCCATGGGGAAGGGTGACAGACAACTATAAAAATAATTAACTATCAGAACTGTGATCAATCCTGTGGAGAAGTGCAGGGGACCATGAGAGCTAATGGACCTAACTTATCCTGAGAAATCAGGAATTCTCCTCTGGTGAAATGACATTTAAGATAATGAGCTAAGCAAAAGTATGAGGGTGGAGAAATAGAAAAGAGGAGAAAGTTCTAAGGCAGTGAAAATGGCATGTTTATCTTAGTTTGGGCTGCTGTCACAGAATACCACAGACTAGGTGGCTTATGAACAACAGAGATTTATTTATCCGCCCTCATGACCTAATCGTCTACCAAAGGCCCCACCTCCTGATATCATCACATTGGGGGGGTAAGATTTCAACATAGGAATTTGAGGAGAACACAAACATTCAGTCTATAGCAATACTTAAAGACTCTGAGGCAGAAAAGCACACGACCAAAATCAGGTAAAAACCAAAGTGTGGTTGAACCATAGCAAGGAAGGCAGAGCCAAAATGCAATGGGATAAAAGAGGTTGGGAGAAACCTGAAGGCCTTGATAAAGAGCCAGAAGTTCATCCTAAAATTAAGGAAGATACACTGAGGATGTGAAGCCAAGCC